CAAGCCCCCTAATTACAGGTAAAGACATACGTCACAGGAAGGTTTGTACTACATGTAATACAGTAATGGGAGGGGGACGATCTAGCGGTATACGCACAATAGGGATTGGGGGTACACATGTGACAAGATGGACAGATCCTAGATTCAGGATGGCAGCCTAACTTTGGATGTCACTGAGCAGGTTTGACCACCCTCTGGCTCTCCATGGAAACAATTACACCCTCCTTATCAGTAGGGTGTGCGCCCCACCTACAGTTGACCAGAGTCTGATGGCTGAATGCCTTCAGGTAGGATATCTCTAAGCATCTGACCTCCCACCACCACGTGCTGACAAACAGCCTCTAATGTTTGGCATGTCTTTGGGGGAGACAAAGCTGGGGCAAATCTTTTTATATCCCACACTCGTTGCTTTTTCATGGCCGGCGTTGGTCTAGCAGGCATGGGTCTACCTTTGTGGACGAGCGTTATTGAAAGTGTTGCCCTAACCCCAGCGCTCATTGTTTGTGTGATGTCCAATCCTTTGAGTGTGTGATGTACTGTCAACAATTTTTAAAGGGAAAAAAAAACACATCATGTCTGTAAATGGAAAACCAACCAGTATCGCTTGATAAAGCATCACCATAAAAATGAAAGAAACCATTTTCTAAATTTTAATTTTATTTTTAAAACATCAATGAAATACAAGTATGACAAATTGAACCTACTGTTCAATAATTGATGGAGCTGATACCAAGGACTCAAGAGAAAGTAAATGTCTAGAAAAGAATGATGGCAAAATCTGTACAAATATGCTTGATACACTTGATGCATGGATTGTTAAAAACATTGTAAGAGCCCCCAATGATCTATTAATAAAAATAATAATAATTGACATCTGAAATCAAGATTGCCCAATAAAAGAATGGAGTCATTTATAATAGATATTTTTTGTTGTTGTTTTGTTTTGTCTATTTATTAATTTATTTACTTTTTAAAAAATATATTTTTATTGGGGATCATACGACTCTTATCACAATCCATAATACATCAATTGTG